GAGCTGGTCAAGGTCCCATTTATTTTTCTTCCCTCTTGACTTGAATCTCATGTTATGGTTGGAGCTGAAGCAGCCACCTTGAGACCATGAGGGAGAGACAAAGAGAATGACAAAGATGTCAGTTCTGACATCTAAGCATTCAAACAATATCTAGCAATTACCTTACTCTAGTCTAGGGTTGGCAAACTATAGCCCCCAGGCCAAATTTGTGTTTGTGTGTCTCGGGGGCACTGCCTTAGAAGGCTAGCACTGTGAGGAGTGGAGACCAAGCCAGGGGCATCCCCCTCTGTCATTATTTCTCCCTGTGCTCCCAGTATTTGGCTCCCAGGCCAGGTGGCAGCTATGCATCACCAGTGCCTAGGCTCCAGCTGGTCACCACCAACATACTGGGGACTCCACCTTTGGCAACTGATGGGCAATGAGTGGTAGACTCTCATTCTAGGGCTTGGTGACCGTGGAGGTTGCCTTGCCTCCAGCCAGCTGCCCAAGTTGATATGCTGGGCTTGCCAGGAATACAGGATGCACAGGATTCTGAATGTCACTGGGGCAGAGAGGGAAACTGACCATGGAGGTTGCCATTCCCAGTATCTACCTGGCCAGGTTCCACCCACTTGGGCCGGTGCTCTTTCTCTCAAGGATGTCTGCAGCAACAGGCAATCAGGTGCAAAGCATGCCCAGCCCCCAGGTGGCCCACCCTGAGGAAGTGGGGCAGGCAGGAGATTTTCCTCCTGTTTTATAAGTGCCAACGTCACATCTTTGATTTTGCCTCTCGTCCCACAAAGTTTAAAATGTTTACTATTAATATTGTAGAAAAACTCTGCCAACTTTTCTATAATATTAATAGTATTTTTTTTTTTTTTGGCTATTGCTCTACGCAATATGTGTTTATAGCAGAAAAGAAAAACTTTTTTAAAGATACTATAATCAAGACTCCTGTAATTTGTAGCCAAACACATTCTTAATTTATCCTATAAGTAGGACTTCTTTAGGCAAAGATGTTTCAGGGAGAGCATTCTGGGCACAAAGGACAGCCTAGACAGGAGCAGAGAAAGAGGAGCTTACGAGCCATGTGTGGGAAAAGCAAGACCTCTAGTGTGGCTTGAGGACAAGGTTAGTAGGGCCAAGTAATTGAAGACTTCTTTTAAAATTGTCTGCTATAACCCCTTATTGGATCATGAAATTAATTCAGTGGGCTGCAATCAGTCATTTGCTTGGGTTTGTGTGTGTGTGTGTGTGTATGTGTGAGGAAGATTGGCTCTGAGCTAACATCTGTGCCAATGTTCCTCTATTTTATGTGGGATGCCACTGAATGGCTTGACCAGAGGCGCTACATCCGCACCTGGGATCCGAACCTGCGAACCCTGGGCCACGGAAGGAGAACACATGAACTTAACCACTATGCCACTGGGCTGACCCCTTGGTTTGGTTTTTAATACGAGCATTCATAGCAGCTTTACTCATAATAGACAAAAACTGTAAAAATCTCAACTGTCCTTCAACCAAGGACTGGTTAAACAAGCTGTGGTACATCCATATCACAGGGTACCGCTCAGCAACAGAGAGGAACGAACCACCCATACAGGCAAAGGCTTGAATGGATCCCAAGGAAGTTATGGTCGGTGAAAAAAAGGCCATCTCAAAAGGTAACGCACTGAATGATTCCACTTATATAAGGTTATGGAAATGACAAAATTATTGAGATGGGGAACAGATTAGTACGTGCCACAGCTTGGGGCAGGGGAAAGGGCAGGAGGTGGCTGTGGCTATAAAATGAGGAATCCCCACGATGGGACTGCTCTGCATCTTGACTATGGTGCTGCGGTGGTGGCCACATGACCTACGTCTGTGATAAATTGTGTACAACTAAATGCACACACACACACAAATATGTATATATACTAATATATACCATATAATTATAAATTATATATATTGCACATTTATTTTTTAAGTATATGTAGTATATAATTTTATATATAGTATATATATTACATATATATAGCTATACTATATATAATATAGAAACATATATGTACAATTTATATATTTTTTACATTTTGACCCTACATATATACATACATATAACTAAAACAAACGTCTCACAAAACAATACTGACCCTTACTATGTACAATACACTATCTTTTTCTCCTTTTATATATTATATATTTTATATATAACATATATAATTTATGTAATTATGTAATATATAATGTATATAATTATATTTATATATTATATACAATATTTCTTATTGTGGGTGATGGTAAAAAGTGGCAAGTTTAAGAAACACTGCACTAGAAGAGGTGAAAAGGCAGGCTGGGGCTAGACTGTGAGTGTCAGTCTGAGGAATTCTGGCCTAAAGCTGCCTTCCATGGGCTGCCCTGGGGGCTTTTCAGGAGGGAAATGGTGCAACCAGGTACAGAGAAGGAACAGGCTACGGGGTGAGGGCAGTCAAGTAATAAAAGTAATAGACAGTAAAGCAGACAGGGTTACTGCAGGTGTGAGAAGGGCAAAGGAGAGGCGGTATTAGTTGGGATTCTTTCAGTGCAAGTGATAGAAATTCAACTAAAACCCAAGAGTCTATTGGCTGGCATAGCTAGGAAGAATGGGAGGTTATTTTAGAGACCCAAACGATAGAAGCCACAGGAAACTCGAGCTTTGGTGACAGTATGGGGCCTCATGACTGCCAAGTCTCTCTCTCTGAGTTTGGCCTCATTGTTTCCTGCACAGAGGTCCTCTGAATGTGGGGGTAAAGACAGCTTCCAGCAGGCTGGATTCGTTCCCTCCTCCGGCTTAGCAGGCCTACTGGACTTTGCCCAGAATCGGGACATCAATCCAAATAAAAGACTCAGAAGCCCTGCTTTGGTCGCATGCCCATTTCTTGTTCTGAACCTTTTATAAGGTTTCAGTTAGAGTGCTCTTGGCTGGGTGCTGCAAAATATCCATTTAAAAGTGGCTTAAACACGGAGGATGATATAATATTTTACTTACAAGAAGTTCTGAGGCAGCTTACTGTTGGTTTAGATAGTGATTCGATGACATCAGGCTCCCAAGTGGGCTTCTCTGCTATTCTGTTGACCTTCCCTCAAGGGCAAGATGGCTGCTACATTTCTAGGAATCTTCTCCTCACAGAACAAGGTCCTGGGCAGGAAGAAGCAAGTCCTTGACTTGCATGCATATTTAGAATTAGGAAAGCTTCCCAGGATATGTCCTCTTAAGTTTCATTGGTTAGGACTGTGTCATATACCCGTGTTCAGCCAATCATTAGTGAGGCAAATGGGATAAACAAGACTGGTGTAGACCAATCAACCTCTATCCCATAGGCTTGGAGAGGTACCCATCAAGCAGATGGGCACCCCATATCTAAAAAACACAGTTAGTGTCTGACAGAAAGAACATAAAGGAAATGGCCAGTAGATAAGCAGCTAACACCCCTGCCACGCAGTGAAAATAGGACGCTATATTAGTTTTTGATGGCTGCGTAAAAATTTACCACTAACTTAGAGGCTTAAAATAAGACACATTTCTTATCTCAAGATTTCTACAGGTCGAGAGTTTGGGCACAGCATAGTGGGGTTCTCTGCAGGGCTGCAATAGAGGGGTCAGACAGCACTAGGTTTTCATCTAGAGGCTAAACTGGGACAGAGTCTACCTCTAAACTCACTCGAGTTGTTGTCAGAATTTATTTTCTTGCTGCTGTAGGACTGAGGTCCCTGGCTTCTTGCTGGTTGTTGGCTGGAGACTGCCCTCAGCTCTTAGAGACCGCCCACAGTTCCCTACTAAGGGGGCTTCCCCAACATGGGCACTTACTTCATCAAACCAGCAAGAAGAATCTCTAGATCAAATCTTCTATCAAGATGAGTCTTATATGATAAACACGGGCATAACATCCCGTCACCTTTGCCATGGTCTATTGTGTAAAAGCAAGTCATAGCTCCCATTCACACTCAAAGAGAGGGGGTCACGCAGAGGCACACCGGGAAGTGAGGGTCATGAGGGGTCACCCTATCATCTGTCTGCCACAGACACCAGGAGTAGCCAGGCCTGCATATCCCCAGCTCAATTATCAGACAAAGGGAGATGGGAAAGCCCTCTGGGAAATTGAAAATATAGGGTCCTTCGGTTCACGTGAAAATGAAAGAGATATTCTGAAAATAGAATTGCTGAGACTTGGCAACCATGGAGTATAGGAAAGGAAAGGGAGAAAAGTGACTCAGGGCTTTAGAGCCAGTGACTGGAAAGAGGACAATGCTATTACTGAATCTGAGGACTCAAGCAGAATGAACGCGAAGGAAGGAGGATGAAGAGATTTGTTCGAAGTTCCCATAGGATGTCCACGTGGAGTAGTGGATCTGGAGCTCAGGACAGAGGCCTGAGACACAGATGTGGACGTCATCACCCTAGAAGTGGATAACATTTGCAGCTGTGGGAATGGATAGTATGTTTGTATATGTAGCCACATTATCCACAAACTCTCCTCTTCTTGCTGAGGAAGTCTGGCCCTGAGCTAACATCCATGCCCACCTTCCTCTGCTTTATATGTGGGACGCCTACCACAGCATGGCGTGCCAAGTGGTGCCATGTCCACACCCGGGATCCGAACCGGTGAAACCCGGCCGCCGAAGGAACGTGCGCACTTAACCACTGCGCCACTGGGCGGCCCCTTCATTTACTTTGAAGTATAGAAGACTCAGTCTAAAAGGGGACTAATGGGAGCTGGCCCGGTGACGCAGCCATTAAGTTCACGTTTCACTTCTTAGCGATCTCGGGATTGCCGGTTTGGATCCCGGGTGCGGACATGGCACCCTTTGGCAAAAAGCTACTGTGTGGTAGGCTGTCTCACGTATAAAGTAGAGGAAGATGGGCATGGATGTTAGCTCAGGGCCAGTCTTTCTCAGCAAAAAGAGGAGGATTGGCAGCAGATGTTAGCTCAGGGCTAATCTTCCTCAAAACAAAAAACAAAGCGGGGGATTAATGCTTAAGCAGAAAAGGGACTTACTGGTGCATGTAAGCAAAGTCCAGAAGTTACGTTGCTTTCAGGTGTGGTGTGATACAGAGGCCCAAATGACGTCACAGGACCCAGGTTTTCTTTCTCCACCCTTTGGCTCAGCTTCCTCGGGCTTGGCTCCATTCATGGGCTGGGTCTCCCTCATGGTAGCAGGATGGCTGCATTTGCGTCTGGTCTTATATCTTCATACATTCAAGCACACTGGGAAAAAGTGTCTCACTCCCGGAAGCCTCAGTGGAAATCTCGTGGAATCTCAGTGATTCTGAGGGGAGGCTCCTGCTCATTTCTGAACCAATCACTGTTGTCCAGGAGAATTCAAGACTCTGATTGGCCAGGCCCGGGTCACATGCCGTGCCCAGATCTGCTCCACCAAAGGCACTCAGAATGGAGCTGGAGGTTGGAAAGGTGGAGATTCTCCAGGCAGAAATCTTGGACTTGTTCTGGAATTTTGTAAGGGGACACCGAAAAAGCAAATTTCCATTAAGCAATGCCTGCAGTTCAAGGGGATAAGGAAGATAAGAATCCAGCAAAGAAATTTTAAGGAAGAGAGAGAGACAAAGAACTAAAAGCACTATATAATGTCATCAAAGAAAAGAAGACCAGTATTTGCTTAGCATCTGCCGTGTGACAGGAATTTGTCATACAATCTCTCATTTAATCCTCACAATAACTCTGATACATAGACCTTTTAAATTCCCAGTTGACAGAGTATCAGGGTAAACTGAGTCTCAGAGAGGATATGTGACTCACCTAGATCACACAGCTCCTAAGTGGGGTCGCTGGAACAGGAGCTCTCCGTCTGCGATCCGTGTTGTGACAAGAGTTCAGCAAGATGTCAAATCTGGCAAGAGGGCTGAGATGAGTGAGCGCTAAGATGAGGACTAGACATTTGGAAATAGGAAGTCCCGGCTGACTTTCCTGATGGCTGTTTCAGAAGAGCTGTGAGGGCCACAGGGATTGAGTTAGGGACGGGTGGTTACCCTTCCAGGAAGTTTGACAATGCTAAGAAGGAGAAAGGTGCCATCAATATACACCTGTTTAAATCTGTCTCCCCAACCACCAAGTGCGATCCTCAAAGGCAAGGCCTTTACTTGTCTCTAAGTCTCCAGCCTAGGAGAAGGCTTGCCCATAGTGGCATCACTAAGCATTTGTTAAACTAATGAGTAAATGATTGCATGAATGGAAGAAGAAAGACTGCATCCCAAGAGGAAAGGAAGGCAGAGAAAGAAATGTAAAGATAGATTAAATCTGGACACATTTCTAGGGCAAGTGCAACGAGCTTGACAGTGAAATTGAAAGGCGATGAATGAAACAAAGTGCACTGTGAGGCTCAAACCCCATGGAGGAATAAGCCTTAGGGCAAGGTTTCAACTGTTTTCCCCAAAGCCAGAGGGAGGGAGGAAAGCGTGGACTGTGATCTCAAAGTCTACAGCGGAGGGGAGAAAAACGTGAAGCACTTTTATCTACTGGCCTCAGTCGTCGCTGTGGAACGGTAAAGCTGCTTATTTCTCTATTTTGAACGTACCTTCGAGGCAGCCCCGGTATTGTCGTTCCTGCCTTGCCCCAACAGTGCTGGGCACGGAATAGATGCTAAAATAAATGTATAAACTCAGTGGGTTGAGTTGAATAGAATTAAATTATCTTTTATAAAAATGTGATCAGAGCCTGCAGAAAGGACAGCGACAATATCGTCCTAATTGTAGCTTGTAGGGACTTTGTAGGGTGCTGTGGGAAGATGGAGGAAGAAGTGCATTGTGCACATGAGATCTGCTCTACACAATGGCTTTGCTCGGCAGACAGCTCTTTATCGTCTTCTTTTTAAATCTAAGCTTACACCCCCACTTCTTCAGAACTCCTGGGCTTGGGCGGCGATTAGTAGGTTGGGCGTTGATAATCACAGGTCTATCTCGGGAAATTACAGGATGTGAGGGCTCAGAGGTTAGCAATCAGCAGGGCTTGACTTACCCTCCTATGGCCAGAGCCAGGGCTGTCCCTCTTAGCTCATTGACTCAGCCAGCCCTGACACCTGTTCAGCAGGTGACGGGAGAGAGGAGGGGAGGTGCCTCCAGTTGCAGGAGGCAACCTGACCTTGAACTCCAGCATGGTTTTAAACTCTTCACCTCTTAGACTGAGGTAACAGGGAAGATGGCTGACTGTGGATTAGAGCAACAATTAACTGAAAAAAATAAAACAATCCACAGTGAAAAACTCCCTCCTCTGACTGTGTTTAGGCTCTAACAAGTATGAGCATAAAGAGATCGGCGGAATAGGGGGTCAAATAAGGGTGAGGTGGTGCCATCAGTGGGCCTCCTTTGGCCACCAGTAGGCACCTTTATGGTGTGTTTCTGTGAGGAGGAGCAAAGAAAGGGGGCTAGGAGAATGGAGTTGGTCCACCTCTTTGTGGGAGTGGAGCGCCAAGCGCAGGGCTGGGCTCCGCAGGGGAGCAGGAGGAACTCACTTGCTCCCCTCCAGGGGTTTCTGGACTTCCTGTTTGTACGAGCAGGTGGTTTATCTCCGTGTAAGCTAGTTTGGATTCTTACTTTGTACACATTTGGTGTGTGCTTTCTGCAGAGGCCCAGAAAGAGGCAGGAAGGGGAGGGCAGTGTGGCATTGAAGCCAGCCAGAATCAGGTTCTCGGTAAGTGAATCCTTTACCCAGTGTCCAGCAAATATATCTGCTCCCTTTGCCCCTTCCACTTACCCAGCTCTACCAGGCACAGAGATTCCATCTTTGCCAACAGGTAGGTATGAACCAACAGTCCCTTTGCAGTGGAGTGTCTGTTACTGCAAGAAAGGCCAGCCCTGAGAAAAACAGTGCAACAGCTGAAGCTCCTCTTCGGCTCCTCTTCTCCAGGCCCTGCCTTCCCCACCCACGCCACAGCACAATCGAGATGGCAAGGGACTTGGTCAATTTCTGGCTTAAGGGTGACCTTCTCATGCTGTACTTTCATTCTAATAATAGACCTTATATTCTGCTTTCCTGCATATTATCTCATTTGGCTAGCAATCCTGTGAAGAAGGCAGGAATGGTCGTTATTTCCCAAAGATATTTTTGACCACTTATAAAATGAACCATTTACTAGGTACTTTTTAGTTGTCAGTCCCTGTGCCAAATGCCTTACGTACCTCAATTAATCACCATAACCAGTTTTGGAGGTTGATAGCATTATCCGTGTTTTACACAGGAGAAAGCTGGGTGTAGTAGGGAACTTGCCACAGGCCGTACAGCCAAGTAGTGGGAAAGCAAGATTAAGGCCTGGGTCTAGCCAAGTCCAAATCCTGTGCTAGTCTCTCCTACGCCATTCTGCCTGTGCAGAAGGCAGGCTAGATATCAGTACATCCATTTTCTAAAGGATGTTTTTCTCTTTTAAAAAAACAGAAGTTCAGAGAACTGTTTCACAGAACTAACAGATCCAGGGCTAAAGCCTCCTTTAATAAAGGATGCCAGAAGAAAAATTTCTACATGGAGGGGGATTGGACCACCATGTTGGATTTTCAGACACAGTCATAAGCGTGGAATAATCTTCCTTGTACCTCTCAAACCATGTGGAATACCTGACTATAACCCCTCACTCTTACTTCATAAATTGAGTCTAAATAAAAGGGAAGAGTCTCCTAAATCTCCTGAATCGGCTTTCTTCCCCTCTTATTCCCCAGAAATTGCTCCTGTCAGGGTCCTCTGTGACCTCCTGGCTGCGTTATTTTACTCTACAGTGGCTGGCCTCTCTGCACCCTTTATGGCTGACTGCTTATTGAAACTCTCCCCTCCCCTGACTCTGGGGCAGCCGTCTGTCCTGGCTTTAGTGTTATTTCTCTGGCCTTTCCTTCTCAGCCTCTTTCAAAGGCTCAGGTTTCTCTGACTATACCCATCATGGGTTAGGGGCAAAAGGCAGAACCCACCCTGGCTAGTTTAAGCAGAAAGGGATAATTACAAGGTATCGATCGACTTGCAGAACCCATGGGAGAGAGAAGTCTGGGAGATGTCGTTTTTAGCTTTCCAACTCTGCAGTATGGGAAGGCACACTAAAAGGAAATTGAAATAGATGTTGACTCACATAGTCTCTTAAAATTTGGGTGTTCTGCAGAATTGTGTTCTTAGCCCTTTTCTTTCCTGGTGCTAAGACTATCTCCCGTCAACTCACAGCTTCAACTACCACCTGAGTTATCTCTAACCCCGAGTTCCAGATTTGAATATCCAGCTGGCTACTAGATAGCTCTGCCTCCTCCTCCTGTATTTTCTATATCAATGAACGGCACCACCATCCATCCAGTGATCCAAGCCAGAACCTGGGGACATTGCCCATCTGCCTCATGCAAATGGTTGTTGCAGTTGGTCTATATATTCCAGTCTTCCTGCAGTTGGATGGGGCCATATGACTGCATCCTGGCCAATGTAATCTGAACAAAGGGAATGGGAGCAAAGTCCAGGTGAAACAGTGGAAACCTTTCACACGTTATCTGCATTCTCTTTCCCTATCTGCCAACTGAATGGAGAGAACTTCAGGACCCTAGAGGAGGGCAGAACCATAGATATAAGGAGGCTGGGTCCCTGAATGACTCAAGGAGCTCTGCAGCTCCCAGAATTAATCTGCGTCATCCTGGAATGTGGGGGTGTGGGGTCATGAAAGTGTGCCGTTCAGAGCTCCTGCTGGGGGAACAAGATTTACTGTGGCCCCAGCTGCTGCCCCACTGGACTATCACTGTGTTTATGGCAAGGTTACACTTCGCATGGGCTGCTCCCAGCCAGTGACTCAGCACAGGGGGGTGCAAATTCAAACCCATTCCTGTAAGAGACAGCATTCCTCTAGCAGGTGACTTTGACCCATAGATTCTCCACTGGCCCGGCTGAATCTTTCTTGGGACTACGCTCAAGTCCAGGGCTCTTCCTACCCAGTCCTCTTTCCTTTCCTGTCTCCTTTGCAGGCGTCACACCTGCCTTGTGGTCTGAAAGCTCTCCTTGCCTCCCTTGGGATCCTTCTATTTATCCTTTGCAGGTGTTTCCCCAATAAATCTCTTGCATGTCTAATTTCATCCTGGCATCTGCTTCTCAGAAGACCTGAACTAAGTCAGGGGAAAAGTAAACCTTTATTGTATTATATCATGGAGATTTGGGGGTTGTGGGTTAGAGTAGTTAGCCTACTGTACTGTGATGATCAAGGTATGAATATTTCTGAAAGTTATTCTGTCTCCCCTTTGCATCTGCCTTAGTTTAGGCCTCCTGTGCTGACTGCCCATCTTCCTGAGTGACTCTTCTGCATCTGGCCTTGGTGAGCAACTCAGCTTCAGAAGTCTCCTCCACATCACCTTCACAGTGATCTTTCTACTGTTAACCACCACTTTTTAAACACCTATACAAGCCCTGAATACATTGTTCTTTCACTTACCCCAAC